TATATAGTGTCAAGAAAAAAGTTTAGCTAACATAACGGTTCATGTGGGGAAATCCACAGCACCATCCAGGCCTAATGGTCCATTAGTTTAAAAGGTTGGAGAAATCTAACTCTGCTAGTAAAGAGAGTTGCTAAATGGTTGCTTGGGGGGGGGGGGGATGCAGCTTGTTGCAAAATTGCTAGCTTCACTTGCAAAAGGAGGGCATGTCTGGCTTGCTGTTGCCATAAGATCACTGATGCTGCTTTCGCTTTAAAAAAAACAACCACTGGGCTCCTCCTATTGCACTTAGGATGCCACAAGCATGGATGAAAGAGGAAGTAGCTGGTATGTTTCAAAAGAAGGATTAGTGAAATGGGACTTCCCAGTAGATTGTGAAAGCAGGTATTAAATTACCTTCCAAATAAACCATGCCAAGGTTTAGAGACCTGCTCAGCAGCAGCTTGATGCAAAAACTTGTTTTGAGGCATTGGTGTTGGTGGTTTCTTGTTTTGGTGGGTGTGGTGGTGCTGTTTTAATGGTCAGATATACCCCAGGACTTTTACCTTGCATGTTAAGTTTTCACTGTTCTTATTTTAAAAGACTCTCTTCCTTTGGGGTGTGAGGGGAGGAAAATGTATGTTCTTCTTAGTTGCCTAGGTAAGCTGTTCTGCCTTCCAGTGTTTCTGCCAGTGACCCTAAAAGTATTTAGACAACTCACAAGCTCTTAGGTTTCGTTTTTTAAAGTACAGAATTTTGCACTGCGTCAATATTTAATATGATTAAGCGTGTACAGTGGTACCTCGGTTCTCAAACATAATCCATTCTGGAAGACAGTTCAATTTCCAAAACGTTTGACAACCGAGGCGCAAAGGGCTGGCTGCAAGTTCAATTGGAAAAACTGAAAAACACTCAACAGAAGCTGTTCGACTTCCGAGGCGCGTTCAAAAACGGAAGCAATTCTGGGTTTTTGGTGTTCGAAAACTGAAACGTTTGGCTTCTGAGACACTCGAAAACCGAGGTACTATTATTATATGTCAGCATATATATTGTGCAGGTTTCAATTCTACCTGTATCTAGGTTCTGGCTTTTCTGCATTAGTTCTCCCTTACAACTATGGGCAATTAGTTTTCTAAAAATAAAACCTCACACCTTAGCCTTGCAGGAACACTTAGCTGCTTTTCTAATACCCTTCTTTCATTAGGCTCGGGATAAAGTGGAATAAACCCTGTCCTAGAAAGATTTCCTCTGAGGTAGGTTAAGTTGAGAGAGAGCGACATGGCCAAGGTCTGATGCTAAACCCCACTGAGCCTCTGGGTGGTTGAACAAGGTTTTGAACTCTTCTGTCCACACTTTCCCAATGTGCTCTGGCCTTTTCTTCCCCCAAAGGAAATAAGGTGCCCAAGTTGTTTTCTGGCAGGATGCTTCTGCCTTAAAATAACTAAGCAAGAAGCTTCAGGACACGAGGCCTTCGCACGCACACAAAGGCTATGGAATTTGTTGCCACCCATGGCTGATGCCTTCTTAAAAGGTAAAGGGACCCCTGACCATTAGGTCCAGTCGTGGCCGACTCTGGGGTCACGGCGCTCATCTCGCTTTATTGGCCGAGGGAGCTGGCATACAGCTTCCGGGTCATGTGGCCAGCATGACTAAGCCGCTTCTGGCAAACCAGAGCAGCGCATGGAAACGCCGTTTACCTTCCTGCCTATTTATCTACTTGCACTTTGACGTGCTTTCGAACTGCTAGGTTGGCAGGAGCAGGGACCAAGCAACGGGAGCTCACCCCGTCGTGGGGATTTGAACCGCTGACCTTCTGATTGGCAAGCTCTAGGCTCTGGTTTAACCCACGGCGCCACCCATGTCCCTTGATGCCTTCTTAGATGGTTTTAAAAGGGATTATTTACTTACTAATACATTCGTATCACACTTTTACAACAAGGAGTTGTACATGGTTCTCTCCATCCTCATCTAGGTAGGTTAAGCTGTGGAACAGCGACTGGCCCCAACATCATGCAGTGAGCATTTTGTCTGAGTCAGGACTTGAACTCTGGTCTCCTAGGCCTAATCCAGAGTTCTAGCCTAGGGGTGGGGGAACATCACATCTGGGAGCCAAATATGGCGATATACTGGGGTAGGAGAGCTGGAAAGAACAATTCACACCTGGCAACCAATGTGCCCTTTTGGTTTCAGATAGTACATGGGTTGTTGTTGTTGTTTAGTCGTTTAGTCGTGTCCGACTCTTCGTGACCCCATGGACCAGAGCACGCCAGGCACTCCTGTCTTCCACTGCCTCCCACAGTTTGGTCAGACTCATGTTTGTAGCTTCAAGAACAGTGTCCAACCATCTCATCCTCTGTCGTCCCCTTCTCCTTGTGCCCTCCATCTTTCCCAACATCAGGGTCTTTTCCAGGGAGTCTTCTCTTCTCATGAGGTGGCCAAAGTATTGGAGCCTCAGCTTCACGATCTGTCCTTCCAGTGAGCACTCAGGGCTGATTTCCTTAAGAATGGAGAAGTTTGTTCTTCTTGCAGTCCATGGGACTCTCAAGAGTCTCCTCCAGCACCATAGTTCAAAAGCATCAATTCTTCGGCGATCAGCCTTCTTGATGGTCCAGCTCTCACTTCCATACATCACTATTGGGAAAACCATGGCTTTAACTATACAGACCTTTGTTGGTAAGGTGATGTCTCTACTTTTTAAGATGCTGTCTAGGTTTGCCATCGCCTTTCTCCCAAGGTGCAGGCGTCTTTTAATTTCGTGACTGCTGTCACCATCTGTAGTGATCATGGAGCCCAAGAAGGTAAAATCTCTCACTGCCTCCATTTCTTCCCCTTCTATTTGCCATGAGGTGATGGGACCAGTGGCCATGATCTTTGTTTTTTTGATGTTGAGCTTCAAACCATATTTTGCACTCTCCTCTTTCACCCTCATTAAAAGGTTCTTTAAATCCTCCTCACTTTCTGCCATCAATGTTGTGTCATCTGCATATCTGAGGTTGTTGATATTTCTTCCGGCAATCTTAATTCCGGCTTGGGATTCATCCAGCCCAGCCTTTCGCATGATGAGTTCTGCATATAAGTTAAATAAGCAGGGGGACAATATACAGCCTTGCCGTACTCCTTTCCCAATTATGAACCAATCAGTTGTTCCATATCCAGTTCTAACTGTAGCTTCTTGTCCCACATAGAGATTTCTCAGGAGACAGATGAGGTGATCAGGCACTCCCATTTCTTTAAGAACTTGCCATAGTTTGCTGTGTTCGACACAGTCAAAGGCTTTTGCATAGTCAATGAAGCAGAAGTAGATGTCTTTCTGGAACTCTCTAGCTTTCTCCATAATCCAGCGCATGTTTGCAATTTGGTCTCTGCTTCCTCTGCCTCTTCTAAATCCAGCTTGCACTTCTGGGAGTTCTCGGTCCATATACTGCTTGAGCCTTCCTTGTAGAATTTTAAACATAACCTTGCTAGCGTGTGAAATGAGTGCAATTGTGCGGTAGTTGGAGCATTCTTAGGCACTGCCCTTCTTTGGGATTGGGATGTAGACTGATCTTCTCCAATCCTCTGGCCACTGCTGAGTTTTCCAAATTTGCTGGCATATTGAGAGTAGCACCTTAACAGCATCATCTTTTAAAATTTTAAATCGTTCAGCTGGAATATCATTACTTCCACTGGCCTTGTTATTAGCAGTGCTTTCTAAGGCCCATTTGACTTCACTCTTCAGGATGTCTGGCTCAAGGTCAGCAACCACACTACCTGGGGTATACGAGACATTCATTTCTTTCTGGTATAGTTCCTCTATGTATTCTTGCCATCTCTTCTTGATGTCTTCTGCTTCTGTTAGGTCCTTTCCACTTTTGTCTTTTATTATGGAAATCTTTGAATGAAACGTTCCTTTCATATCTCCAATTTTCTTGAACAGATCTCTGGTTTTTCCCATTCTATTGTTTTCCTCTATTTCTTTGCATTGCTCGTTTAAGAAGGCCTTCTTGTCTCTCCTTGCTATTTTTTGGAAGTCTGCATTCAATTTCCTGTATCTTTCACTATCTCCTTCGCATTTTGCTTGCCTTCTCTCCCCCGCTATTTGTAAGGCCTCGTTGGACAGCCACTTTGCTTTCTTGCGTTTCCTTTTCATTGGGATGGTTTTAGTTGCTGCCTCCTGTATAATGTTGCGAGCCTCCATCCATAGTTCTTCAGGCACTCTGTCCACCAAATCTAAATCCTTAAACATGTTCCTCACTTCCACTGTGTATTCATAAGGGATTTGACTTAGATTGTATCTTACCGGCCCAGTGGTTTTTCCTACTTTCTTCCATTTAAGCTTGAATTTTGCTATAAGAAGCTGATGATCTGAGCCACAGTCAGCTCCAGGTCTTGTTTTTGCTGACTGTATAGAGCTTCTCCATCTTTGGCTGCAGAGAATATAACCAATCTGATTTCGATGCTGCCCATCTGGTGATGTCCATGTGTAGAGTCGTCTCTTGTGTTGTTGGAAAAGAGTGTTTGTGATGACCAGCTTGTTCTCTTGGCAGAACTCTATTAGCCTTTGCCCTGCTTCGTTTTGAACTCCAAGGCCAAACTTGCCAGTTGTTCCTTTTATCTCTTGGCTCCCTACTTTAGCATTCCAATCCCCTATAATGAGAAGAACATCCTTCTTTGGTGTCATTTCTATAAGGTGTTGTAAGTCTTCATAGAATTGGTCAATTTCAGTTTCTTCAGCACCAGTGGTTGGTGCATAAACTTGGATTACTGTGATGTTGAAAGGTCTGCCTTGGATTCGTATCGAGATCATTCTATCATTTTTGAGATTGCATCCCAGTACAGCTTTTGCCACTCTTGTTGACTATGAGGGCCACTCCATTTCTTTTACGGGATTCTTGCCCACAGTAGTAGATGTGATGGTCATCCGAACTGAATTTGCCCATTCCCGTCCATTTTAGTTCACTGATGCCCAGGATGTCAATATTTATTCTTGCCATCTCATTTTTGACCACATCTAACTTACCCAGGTTCATGGTTCTTACATTCCAGGTTCCTATGCAATATTTTTCTTTACAGCATTGGACTTTCCTTTTGCTTCCAGGCATATCCGCAACTGAGCGTCCTTTCGGCTTTGGCCCAGCCGCTTCATCAGCTCTGAATCTACTTGTACTTGTCCTCCGCTCTTCCTCAGTAGCATGTTGGACGCCTTCCGACCTGAGGGGCTCATCTTCCAGCGTCATAACTTTTATATGCCTGTTGTCTTTGTCCATGGAGTTTTCTTGGCAGGGATACTGGAGCAGCTTGCTGGTTCCTGCTCCAGGTGGATCACGTTTGGTCAAAACTCTCCACTATGACCTGTCCATCTTGGGTGGCCCTGCACGGCATAGCTCATAGCTTCTCTGAGTTATTCAAGCCCCTTCACCACGGCAAGGCAGTGATCCATGAAGGGGAGTACATGGGTAGAGGGGTCTAAAAAGCTGAGACACAAATTTTCACTGCCCTCTAGCGGCTATGGTGGCTCATTTACCAGAAATGGTGTACAGTGGTACCTCTGGTTACGTACTTATTTCATTCCAAAGGTCCATTTTTTAACCTGAAACTGTTCTTAACCTGAAGAACCACTTTAGCTAATGGGGCCTCCAGGTGCCACCATGCCGCCGCTGCGCGATATCTGTTCTCATCCTGAAGCAAAGTTCTTAACCCGAGGTACTATTTCTGGGTTAGCGGAGTCTAACCTGTAGCGTATGTAACCTGAGGTACCACTGTATTTATCGTGTATATTTGATTCAGACCAAACTAAGCCCTCCCACCCATGTATATTTTGCTCTAGGAGGCTTAGTTTGGTCAGAATTGAGTATATACTTCCAGAATTAACACTAAATACATTAATTCTGGTAAATGAGCCACCATAGCCACTAGAGGGCCTTGAAAATTTGTGGTTTTGGCTTTTTAGACTCTGCTTACCACGTACTATCTGAAACCAAAGGGGGGCACATTGGTTGCCAGAAGTGAAATATATTGATTTGTTGGGCCTCTGGGAAAAAAAAAAGTTTGATTGATTGATTGATTGAAATATATTGGCATTATTTTCAGCTCTCCTGCCCCACTAATATGGGCCTCTTTGGCCCTTGAGACTCTCCCCAGCATGCAACCTTCAGTGGGCATGCTCCATGCTCTCAAGTGCTGTGGCTAAACCTGGTGGCATGGGTCTCTGGCTGGAGGGTAGTCTAAATGCAGGTATCTTCAACCTTCTCAGACCCAGTACAGTGGTACCTCGGGTTAAGAATTCATTCCGGAGGTCCGTTCTTAACCTGAAACTGTTCTTAACCTGAAGCACCACTTTAGCTAATGGGTCCTCCCGCTGCCACCGCGCCGCTCCTGCGCGATTTCTGTTCTCATCCTGAAGCAAAGTTCTTAACCTAAGGTACTTTTTCTGGCTTAGCGGAGTCTAACCTGAAGCATCTATAACCTGAGGTACCACTGTACCTGCTCTCAAACATGCACTTGGGAACCAATTTATTGATATTTTACTGTATATTGAATGGCAGTCTGGAATACTGAATAGCAGATCCGGAATCACCAGTCAGAAGACCAATGGGCAGAGGTTGCATTTGCTGGCACTGTCCATCATTGCTGTGTGGCCCCCTCAGAAGATTATCCGTGAGAAAATGTGGCCCTCCAATGAAATATCATGGAGGACAGCCACAAGCAGGGAAAGCACTGTTGGGGGGGGGGGAGAATGCTAAACGAGGTGGGCCTTTGCTCTTAAGTCAGCAGGGTTATTATCACTGGCAGCAGACATCCTTCAATGGTGTGGGTTGGACTAGATTCCTTATGACTAGAATGTGTAGCCTACTTTACATGCTGTTGTGAGCATAGGAGCCAACTCCTAGGGGCCAAGGGGTCTTCAACTGCCCCCCCCCCGAAAATTGATGGGCACTGCCCTTCAAATAGTGTGCATGTACTGCGTCATGCACCCCTGGTTGGGAGGGACAAAATGGGGGGGGATATATCACCTTGATCTCCTTGGAATAAAGGTGGGATATAAAGGCAATAATAATAATAAAGACATAAAAGTGTGGGCTAATTTTTAATAGTCATACCTTCAGATGAATATGCTTCAGCTTAAATATTTTCGGGTTGCGCTCCGCAGCGATCCAGAAGTGAAGGAGCGCGTTACTTCTGGGTTTCACAGCTTGCGCATGCGCAGACGCTCAAAATGACATGCGCATGCGTGGAAGCGGTGAAATGTGACCGGCGCATGCGCAGACGCGGGTTGCGTTCGCTTCAGGATGCTAACGGGGCTCCGGAATGGATCCTGTTCGCATCCAGAGGTACCATTGTATAATTATTGGGTTTTTGCAAGTGAACAATACCACATCTTACAAGTAATAACAAAAAAGAGAACAAGGCAGGTGACCATCCAACCTCTGTTTAAAAACCTCCAAGGAAGGAGACCCCACCACCTGTCATGGGAGTCTGTTCCACCGCGGAACAGCTCTTGCTGTCAGAAAGTTATTCCTATTGTTTCGTCGGAATCTCCTTTCTTGCATCCTGAAGCCATTGGTTCAAGTCCTACCCTCCAGAACAGGAGAAAACAAGCATCCTCCCTCCTGCATGTGACAGCCCTTAAGATATTTCAAGGTGGCTATCATGATCTCCTCTCAGTCTCCTCTTATCCAGGCTAAACACACCCAGCTCCTTCAACCATTCCTCATCAGGCTTGGTATCCACACCCTTGACCATCTTGGGCTCCCTCCTCTGCACACGATCCAGCCCTGCCAATGTCGTGGGACGTGCATGGTGGGGGGCAAACTTAACCACCTCAACGGAGTTGGCCAACACTCCCCGGAAGGCTTCAGCCAAGAAACAAACCGCAGAAGTCGGCCACTTTTTGAAAACAAACAGAAGCAGCAGGGAGGGAGCTGGGGTGCGGTGGCGAGGGGAACCTTCCCTCCCCAACTCTCCAGCTGTCAAAGCAAAGGCGGCCAGCCCCTTAGAGGAGAGGCAGCAGCCGGGGGGGGGGGAGCTGGCTGCGCAAGGCTTGCCGGGGCTTGTAGTGCGCCACGGAGGCGCACGGCGTGGAGAAGAGCAGCCCTTGGAACTACAGTCCCCAGCGGGCAGCTGGCGCGCGCCTGCCCGCCCCCTCGCTCTGCCTCTCCCGGGGAGCCTCTGGCCGGCTGTCTGCGTACGTGGGAGCCCGGGAGGAGCAGCGCGCAGCGCGGGAGGCGGGCATGGAAGGCTGAGCGGAGCTGCCTCTGCAAGCAGCAATAATGTGGCTGACTCCCGAGGAGGTGCTGCTAAAGAACGCGCTGAAGCTGTGGGTCTTGGAGCGCTCCAACCGGTACTTCGTCCTGCAGAGGAGGAGAGGCTGTGGGGAGGAAGGCGGAGGAGGGCTCACCGGTAAGGAGCGGCTCCCTCCCTCTCCCTCTTTTCCGCCCCTCCCGGTTAGATTCCTCCCTTGCATTCTCACAACAACCCTGCGAGGGAGCCCGGGCTAGACTGAGAGTTATTGCTTTGCGCTTACAAGGGCAAGTTGGGATTTCAACTTGGGTCTTCTCCCTCCCTTCCCCCTTCCCCTCCCACGCGCGCTGTGTCCTCACAACAGCCCCGAGAGGTAGGTTAGGCTGAGAGCTAAGGCCGCACACCAGGTGAGCTCTAGGGTGAGATCCGGGTATGGGTCTTTCCCTCCACACCTGATTTGATTCCAACAAGCACCTTGGAGAGGCAGGTAGATTGATGCTGAAAGATACTTGGACATGCAGGGGGGATTCGAACCCGTGTCCCCCTTCTTGGCCCCTAGTCCGCTTCTCCACACCAGTTGTTTTTGCACCCTGGCTGTGGTGGGGTTCTGAGTGCAGACGAGGTGGTCAGCTGTCCAGGAAGGCAAAAACAGTCCCACCTATGAATCTGCCCAAAGGACCAGTCTAGGGCATATGCGGGGTGAGGGTGGGGGGTTCTTTCATCTTCCAGATGTTGCTGAACTTCAACTTCCAGCAGCCCCAGCAAATAAGGGCAGCAGCCAGGAATGGTGGGAGCTGTAGTTCATTGACATCTGGAAGACCAAAGGTTCCCTTACACATGGCCTAATGCAACACCTCGTTATGCCCTGCATATTGTTTCCAGCAGTAGCCATTCAGATATTTTTAGGAAAAGCCCAGAAGCAGGGTTCAAAGCCATCATCTGGTAGTTGCGAGGGGTTACTGACTACTCCTGAATGGGGAAGCTCTATGCAACTGTTGTGGCTAATGGTTTTCTATATAGTATGTCTCAAGCACTTGCTGTTCAAGAGGTATACTGCTGCCGAAGCTGGAGGCTCCATGGGACCACCTCTGAATTAATCTACTAATGTGGGGGGAACAGTATAATTTATTGTCTATTTGCAGTGTTTTGTGGCAGTCAGTTCCATAGGTTTGAACTAGCTTGGTGTGAAGCCGTGTTTTATTCTGCCTCTTGTCCACTCTGAGCCTGGTACCGCCTTTTTGCCCTTGAAGTGAAGAGACCAGCAGGTGAAGCTTTTGGACTGTGGGATAAAAGCTTGCTTACCTGCTAATGTCTTGAGAAGCAGGTGCATTTGAAAGCACAGGAGGGAGCAGATTAGCAAACCTTTGCAAAAGAGAACACTTTCTAGTGCTCAGCTTGGTATGGTGTTGCTGCTGCCGCCGTCATTTTTAACTGGCGGTGTTCTGGTGTGCTTAAAAGTTCTAGCTTGCTAAGATGACCACAGGGTGTCGCCACCTTCTTAATAATAGTAATAATAATAATAATAATAATGGGCAGGCAACTGGTTTCTTGCAGAGATGTGTGAAAGGTCGCAGTGGGCAGCCCAAGTTTCCCCCATTTCTGCATCTCCGGGTCAGGAATAGATTCTGTTGCTGGCGTTTTCCCTAGCATGGCAGCTCTTAAAACACCTAGGAAGCAAAGCAAACAAATGAACGAAATAAAAGAATACCTGGTAACCCCTGATTCTAAGTGAGGACAAGGGTTCCTATTCTTTTATTCATTCATTTATTAAATGTATACCCCACTCTCTCTCCCCAAGGAGCCCAGGGTGGTAAACAAGCGAGCGATAAAACAATAGAAACATCTAAAAGCCGTTCCAATACAGATGCAGTCTGGGGAGGGAACTCTGCTATTAAAAGGCTTGTTGGAAGAGGAAGGTCTTCAGCAGGTGCCAAAAAGGCAGTGTCCGCTGAATAGTCAAGGGAAGAAAATTCATAGAATTGTTGAGTTGAAAGGGACCATAAGGGTCATCTAGTTCAACCCCCTGCAATTCAGGAATCTTTCACCTAACATGGGGCTTGAACCCATGGCCATGAAATTAAGAGTCTTCTGCTCTACCAACCGAGTAGGAGCTACCACACTAAAGACCCTGCTGCTACATTTTGTGGAATGGATCCCCTGATAAGACCTGGTGTCTGCAGGAGACCCTCACCTACAGAACATGGTGGTTGATTGAGTATAAAAAGGGTGAGACAATTTTTCATAATAGCTGTGTAGAATAAATTGCTTCTCTTGGTCAGGCGAAATTCTACTTAATTGTTGTTTGTTCAGTTTGATTGTTGCTGTTCCTGTCATTACGCTTTCCTTGCTTTTCCAAATGAGCTCAAGGCAACATTTAAAACTCCTGTTATAACTACTCATAAGTGTGTCTTCAATCTGCATGGCAGTTTCACAAAGCACAAGAGGGCAGGCCCCTGCCCCAAGGCATTTACAATCTGAACGTTTGCTGTAGGACAAACCACAGAGAAAGGAGAGCCAAATGGAGGCAGGGAAAGCAATTTTCCAGTTGCATCTTTTTTTCAATTGTGTGTACTGAGGATTAGTTACAGTGTGGAACAGGGACTGAAGAATAACAAAAACTAAGGGCAGAGAATCCTTGTCCAGCCTACAGGCCTCATACCCTTCTGAAACATCCTTCAAGGGCCACATGCAGGTGTGGAGAAGTTGAGTGCATTTTAACTTTGCCTGGTAGGCTAGTTTTTTCACGCACTACATCATCCATCCTGGGAAGCAAGAAGCTGAGACTCTTCATCTTAGCCCCACCTTGGTAAAAGTTTTTCCTGCATTGCACGGGGTTGGATTCGATGACTCTCGTGGTCCCTTCCCACTCTTCAATCCTGTGATTCCAGCCAGGCAAAAAAGCACTTGTGGTGTGAAGTCGGACCAGTCAGGGTCTTGAGATTGATCTAAGGATACAAATGGAGATGGATGGAGAGCCTCCACCAGCCCCCAGGCTTCACATTCCCTGCCCTGATTTAAAAAAAACCCACCCACATCTAATTCAGTGTTCTGTTCCCGTGTTCTGGACATGATGTTGATGACTGTCCATGTTCTTCCCCAGCACCTGGTGAGTTCAGAGATACATGGCCACTGAATGTGAAGGTTCAATTAAGCTAACAAAGCAAAGAGCCTTTAATAATTGAATCCCCGCCCCCCCTTCAGTTTGATGAACACTTAAAAAAAGCACACACAAAAGAGTTACTGGCCATCTAAGTTGGTGCTGGTGAAATTCCATGAGCTGATTATGCATTGTGTGGGGGGGGGAAATGTGTTTCTTTTGTCAATCTTCTTGGCTGCTTGCCTGCCACCCATTAGTTTTGTTGCATGGACCAGTAGGGTCAGCAGCTGCAGCGGCTCATCACGCGTGGAGGAGAATGAACTTGGAGCTTCCTCTGCGGAAATGCCTCTGCTTCTGTGCTGAGCTGTAGCTCAAGCTCAGCATGCAGAAGATCCCAGGTTCAGTTTGCAGGTAAGGCTGAGAGACACTCCCTCCTGAGACCCTGGAGATCAGCTGCCGGTCAGTGTAGGTGATGCTCAGCTAGGTTGGCCCAATGGTCTTACTCAGCATAAGGCAGTATGTTACCTATGTTTGGGGTATAGCCCTGCGCAATGGAAAGCCTGCAGGTGAAATAACTACCTAAATACCTGTGCCCTGGTTCAGTTGCTTCCTAGGGATTGCATCTGCAACAGAAACAGCATGTTGAGAAGCAAAAGCAGCATATAGACTCAGGATGGCCTGACTGTGGTGCTAAAAGTAAGTTACATCGCACACACCCCAGCACACACTTGCTAAACATGCTTGTTCAGAAGAAATGCCAGCCCCATTCAGTACATTGCAAAGGTTTATTTGTTTGTTTGTTTATTCATAATTCATTTTTATACCACTGCCTTACACCCCAGGCAAGTGTGCAAACTTATCTCCTTAAGGCCAGTACAGTAAAACCAGAAAATGCAAATTATCCACAGTGGCATCAAATACTTGAGTAAATAAGTATTGAACAAGCATCTAAACCACAGATGGGGAACCTGCACTACTCTGGATGCTGTTGAACTCCCAACTCCCATCGGTCCCAGCCTGCCTGGCCAGTAGTTGGGAATGATGGGACTTGGAGTCTGGAGAGGCACATGTTCCCCATCCTGAGTCGAAGCCCAAGCAAGGTCGCCTTGGGACTTTATTCCAAAAGGTGGGTGCCAACATGGGGGGGGACACCTTTCTCCTAGTTGTCTCCAGATGGATCTGCACAGGCTGCAGGACAGTTAGAAGGCCTGATCTAACAATTGTAGTGAACCGAACATCTATACTGGGGAAAGGGATTCCCCCAGACAATGTGGCCCAAGGTTGTTACGGGAATTCGTTTACCTTCAACAGTATTGGAACTTGGCATGTTAGCAAATTGGCAGCCTGTGCAATGTTTTAAGCAACATGCTTATGACCAATTGTTCCAGTCGCCATTGTTCTTCTCCAGCTACAGCTTCTGGTTCAAACCCAAAGAACCATTAGTCATAGGTTAAAGAGAAAGCTGCTCTATATTAGGGCTAACTATCTGTACATTGGACGCGGGTGGCGCTGTAGTCTAAACCACTGAGCCTTGGGCTTGCTGTTCAGAAGGTCGGTGGTTCGAATCCCCGTGACGGGTTGAGCTCCTGTTGCTCGGTTCCTGCTCCTGCCAACCTAGCAGTTCAAAAGCACGTCAAAGTGCAAGTAGATAAATAGGTACCACTCTGGCGGGAAGAGAAACGGTGTTTCCGTGCGCTGCTCTGGTCAGGGGTCTCTTTACCTTTACCTTTATCTGTACATCTAAAAAAAATAAAAAATCAACTTGTTGTTTTAAAAGAAAAGATCAGGTTGCAAGTGATGTGGAAAACCGCCCTCTGCCTGCAGTCCTGGAGAGCTACTGCCAATCTCGGGGTACAACCTGAGCTACCTGCACAAAGAGCCCTACCTGGTCTGAGGCAGTTTCCAGTAAGCCAATATTGCCTTCTCTGTTTGTTGGGGGGGGGGCGCCCTGAAGCTGTCACAGAGTTTGCAACTAATGGCCCAGTTCTTCCTGGCTTTGAACCTTAATCCACTGCACAACACCTGCTCTCAAAGCAGGTGGTTGTTTGAGTGAGGCAGCAGC